CGACAGACAGAGCTTTATATCGCAATCTGAGAAGGGTAGGATAAAAAAAGAATTTGACAAGCCAAAAAAATAATAACCTTAGGAAAGAAAATACCACCAAAAGTTGTGTTATAGAGCCGGATACTAGCTAGCAGACACGGTTAAACTCAATGCCCTTCTGTAAGAAGCTGGTTAATTACTGACTTCTTAAAAAAATAAATAAATAAACTCACTACCCTCGAGTCAATTCCGACTTATAGCAACTCCCTCTGGGTGTCCGAGGCAGTAAATCTTTACGGAAATAGATTGACCAGTCTTCCATGGAATGGCTGGTGGGTTTGAACCACCAGTCTTCTAGTTAACAGTCAAATGCCTTAGGCACTATGACCCCACCAGAGTTGCTTAACTACTGACTAGCAGTTGGTAAAAAAAAACTTCAAATCATTAAAAATTAATATTTTATAAGCACAGTCGATATTCTGAACAACAAAAATACTCAAACTTAACAGTAAATAAAATGAATTGTGGACAATTTCAAGAAATTTTTCCTACAAGTTTCTATAAAATATCATATAACCCAACTGTGTGAGTGGTAGCTGGGGTTTAAACCCTCCACTTCCTAAAAATATTTAAACAAGTACAATGTGTTTACAAAGAATGAAGTAATGAGGACAAATTGAGTCCACTGTATAGCTTCTGCTTCACAATCGATGTCAAATATGCCTCACTCATTCAATAATGTTTATTTATGTTCTAGGCATGGTATGATTATTTCCTAGCTAATCATCTTTTAGGTCTCAGCTTAAAATTGATTTCTTTTTGAAAGAATTTTCCCAATACCAGGTTAATAGTCGTCCATTAAGCACTTTGTCCTCACTGCACACTGGGCCTTTGTTTGAAGTCCCTATTTATGTACCTGCATCCACCTGGAGACTGTCTCTTACTAATGGAATCAGGACCTAGCCAGGCACTGAGAATGCAGTTACTACAGGAGGACTTCCATTCAAACACGTGAAATCACAAAAAGCTTCAATCTTTTTGGGAAGGAGCTTTAAAAATTTTTAGTTCCATGGGTCCTTTTAGCAGTATAGCCAAGCTTTGCGACATTTTTCTCAGAATCATATATTTGAATAGACAAATATTTAAAGTGAATTAAAAAAAAAGTCATACAGTAGTATATATGCATCTTCAGTAATATATTAAACACAGGTTCTACCATACCATTATTTTGAAGCATATGGCACAGCATAAATTTATATAGTTAACAGATAAGAAAATTAATTGTATTGCTCACAAAGTCAGAGTTGTAACTTACATTTCAGTGGTTTGTTATTTATATTCATAAATGAAAAAAATTTCCATTAGAGATTAGAATATAAAAATGTAATTGTTTTTCTTTGCCAGTTGACATACTCTTTGAATGCTATAAATGGACTTCCTATATAACCTGATCCCAGGTTAAGAATTCAAGTTATAGATACAAAAAGAAATATTAAACCACAAGAACTAGATGGTGTCCAGCTATCACTATCGACCACTCAGAAAGGGATCAGTGCAGGAGATCCTGGATAGAGTGGGAAAACAAGGTGGAACAAAACTCAAAATCATTAAAAAGACTAGGTTTAAATCCTGGTGAGACCCCCGAGACTATGGCCCTTGGTTACCCTTCAGGTCTGGATTTGAACTCACTCCTCAGGCTTCCAGCCAAACAAAACACAGGTGTATAGGGTGAACACTTACATCAGATAGATACACCCCTGGGAGCTCTGGTAGCATAGTGCCTAAGGCACTTGACTGCTAACCAGAAAGCTGGCGGTTCAAACCCACCAGTCACTCCTCGGAAGGAAGGTTGGGCAATCTACTTCCATAGTGATATGGCCTTGAAAACCCAAGGAGGGGTCGCTATGAGTCCGACTCGATGGCACATAACAACAACGACAAAGATACACCCGTTAGAACAATCAATGGTGGGAGAAGAGCAGGGCAGTGTTTACACAGGGAGATAGCTCAAGGGGCAGGGATGCACAGAAAGGACACAGGGAAGACGTAACTACAGGGAGGAAGGGGAAAGAGAGCTGTTACACTGTGGCATATTACAGTAAATATCATGAAACAAAATGGGTATGAGCTGCTGTATGGAAAGTGAATTTGCTCTATAAACTTTCACCTAAATCACAATAAAAATTTTTAATAAGTAATAAAGTAATATTAAAAGCTCTAAAACTCACAAAGTGATTTGAAAAAAAAATAGTCTCCACCAAGAAATTACATTTCAATGTGAGTTTGAATCAAGACTAGAATAGTTGAAGACTGTCAATTTATGTGTATTAAAATGTTATGTACATTTTTAAAAATACTTCTATTACTGATACATGTAAGTGGCAGGATCCATCTGGATATCTATATGCAAATGTTTTCTTATCTAACACCCTCACCTGGTATTCAAGCTGATTGTGGGCATCTTATTTACTAACACAAAAATTTAGAAAATAATAATCTCAAGTCTCCACGGTTTATCACTCCATATGGGATTATTTTCAATGACATTAGCAAACTTTATAGGTTGAGATATAAAATAACATATTTTTATGCAAATAACATGTGCTTTTCATGGTTGTTGGCTATCTGCTCCCTCCCCCCAGAAGGTATTTCGGTGAGTGGCACTAAGCCAAATTTTTTTTTTTACGTGCTGCTGTAAAAAAAAAAATTAGTATAGCATGTTTACAAAAATACCTCCTAGGGGAAGGGAGAGGTTGGCAAACAAATACAGAAGGCACACGTTATTTGTATAAAATACGGTAATGAACACAGTTACATAACATTGATATAAGGAAATGCTCAAACCAAAAAAACCAACTCACTCACTGCAACCCTCATTAGGTTTTCGAGGTGGTCATCTTTATGGAACTAGATGGCACCATCTTCCTTCTGCAGAGCAGCTGGTTAGCAGTCAAATGCCTTAGGCGCTGTGCCACCAGAGCTCCTTTAAGGAAATGTTATACTCTATGAAATACCTCAAAGTAAGTAAGTTCCAGCTGAGGTGTAATTGACAATGATCAAAACATCAAATGAAAAAGAAGAAAGAAAAATAAGTGTTAGACTGATCTATCGTTCTTATTATAATAGCAAGGGATATGTCACATAGCATAGTACCATGAACAGGCAATAAGTAAACGTTGTATAAATTCAATAAGCTCTCCGATACTATGTTTGAGACACTATGCCACACATTAGAGATACAAAGATGAATGACACCCAATCCCTACCTGGGAGGAACTCAGAGGCTAGCTGGAGAAAATGATTCCTAAACAAATGATTACCACAAGCAAAATTACATCATAGAGTTATAAACTGATTGCTCTGGGAACACAAAAATAGGTAAGAATATTGCTATGTCTAATCTTATAATAAAAGCACACATCGGGGAGGTCAAGTGGAAACCAAATAGCAAATGTAGATCAAAAGTATGAAACCATTTTTGATGGAAAATTAATTGCTTACAAAGACAGAGATGACCATAACATCCCTTAAGTTATATAATATGTTCTCATTATAATGCAAAGTCATAGACAGGGAAAATATAGCTTCCAATGTCAGAAGCACTTTTACCAGGGTAATATGAAATATACACTATTACAAAGGAGTTCTGACATAACAGATGGAATATCAAAATGAGTCATACCAGTTACTCCAAGCAGAGTGCTCTAAGTGACATAACTTCCAGACTGTTTCTTCAAATTAAACTTAATTCCCACAATCTTCAGAGCATTTCAATAAATCTTTGTCTTCATTAATAAAATCAATCGAATCACTATACCAATCACCACAAAAAATCTTCCTTTCTTTATCAAAAATGACTAATTAAGATATTAGAAGGATTATTCAAAATGATCTGTATTATCCTCTTACCATCATTCTTTTATTTGAAAAGAAGAAAAATAAAACAAGTCTTTCCCATCAATTTTAAGTGATAGACCATTTCTGAAGAATAAGATAAAAACGGCAGGCTCCTCAGATGCACCAACAAAACAGATTACATCTGAAAAGATCTAAGTTCATAAAGACTCTATTATCCTTGAAAGCAAAAGATTTTATTTTTTATTTAGAAACAAAAAGTATTTTTTAAAATAACTCATTTTCTACCACCATTGTACCAACTGCTTATTTTATATACTGGAAAACTATGCTTCATTCCTAGTTAATGAGATAAAACTTTTTTTTACACAAGTATATATAAAAATAGGAGCTCTGGTGGCATAGTGCCTAAGGCACTTGACTGCTAACCAGAAGGCTGGTGGTTCAATACCACCAGCCACTCATCAGAAGGAAGGTGGGGCAATCTACTTCCGTAGTGATACCGCCTTGGAAACCCAAGGAGGGGTCGGTATGAGTTGGGTCCCACTCAACAGCACATAACAACAATAACAACATACATAAAAATGTAACAGCTAATAAATGCAGAAGAAATGATAGACAATCCACCACTGGCCACTTTTATAACAAAAGAGTAAAAAGTTGTTTCAGAAATGAAGTTACTTGCTAATCTTCATAGAAAAACCTCTCTCTAGCATGTGGACATTTGATGTTCACAACATTATCCATGTGATACAGTGTCACAAACAAGGAGGTAATCTTATATAATGTGCTGCTGGGATCTATTTAAATGTCTAGACCTAAATTCCAGTTAAAGGAAATCCAAGGGATAGAAGAATAAAGAAAAATTATATAATGAAAAAAAGCTGACAAATCCAGAATTTGGACAAAACAACTGGTCTCAGTATTTCCCCAAAAAATACAGTAGAAGCTGTATAGTAGACCAAAAGATCCAACGGGGCATAACAAAATGTAAGGCATGAATTCTAATTAGAATACGGTTGGAATCAGTCACAGAACACATTGTGGGGACAACTGGGAAATTGTAAATATTGACTGTGTATGATATGATAAAATGCTGTTAAGTTTCTAATAAATAATATAATTAGTCATGAAAACCTATGATATAAATGAAGAAAAGAACTTACCACTTGTATTAAAAGCCATACAGCATACTGGCTTTTCATGAGCAGGGAAGTGGGCCACAATACCATCACTATCAGAATCCTCGCTCACAAGCACCTTCATAAAACATGAAGACAAATGGAAGTTAAGTATTTTCTGACCAATGATTGGGCTTGAAGATTACACACAACTATGTCACAAGATCATTGACCAAATAACAAACTTCCACATTACTGGAAGATTGTTCTTATCAGTACAAAGGGAGAGTATCATTTTAGGGATGAAGAAAAGAGGTAATAGCATGCTCCCGGAATGCTCCAAAAACAGTGGATTGACATGACTGTAGATGGCACAATTAGTTTTTGAAATATAGTATCAGGACAATGAAAATCATTAAATGAGGTATTTTCAATTATTTGTAAACTGTAATCACACAGGGCTCCATTGAAGGGTAGGAACATACAGTTGTTACAGACCCTGCTGGAAAACAATTGTTTTTTAATTCCATTATTAGAATTAGAAGAACACCAGAACAAGGAAAAATAATATAGTTAATAAAATAATAATAACAAATTGTTAAACATACACCCCCCAAAAAAAGGCCCCATAAAGCCCTACTTTAAAAAGTACAAAGGTATGGTTTTTAGAATCATTCATTCCTTTTTATTGCTAAGACATATTCCACTGTATGGAGATATGGCTTTGCTGATTCATCCACCAGCTCTTGGACACTTGGATTGTGTTTTTGATATTAAGCATAATGCTGCTGCGAACATTTGGATACACATCTCTAGGCTGGCATATATTTTCATTTCTCTTGCGGACATATTTAGAAGTGAAATTGTTCAGTAATATGGTCAGTGTATACTTAACTCGGACACCACATGGTTTAAAATCAAGAAGGGAGTGCGTCAGGGTTGTATCCTTTCTCCACACTTATTCAATCTACATGCTGAGCAAATAATCCGAGAAGATGGACTATATGAAGAAAAACATGTTATCAGGATTGGAGGAAGAATCATTAACAACCTGAGATACACAGACGATACAACTTTGCTTGCTGAAAGTGAGGATGACTTAAGGCACCTACTGATGAAGGTTGAAGAATACAGTCTGCAGTATGGATTACGTCTCAATATAAAGAAAACAAAAATCCTCACAACTGGACCAATGAGCAGCATCACAATAAATGGAGAGAAGATTGAGGTTGTCAAAGAATTCACGTTGCTTGGTTCTACAATCAATGCCAACGGAAGCAGCAGTCAAGACATTACACGACGTGTAGCACTGGGAAAGTCAACTGCGAAGGAACTGTTTGAAGTGCTGAGGAGCAAGGATATCTCCTTGAGGACTAAGGTGCGCCTGACACAAGCCATGATATTTCCAATCACCTCGTATGCCTGTGAGAGCTGGACAATGAATAAGGAAGATGGAAGAAGAGTTGATGCTTTTGAGTTGTGGTGCTGGCGAAGAATGCTGAAAGTACCATGGACTGCTAAAAGAACTAACAGATCTGTCCTGGAGGAAGTACAGCCAGAATGTTCCTTGGAAGCGAGAATGGCCAGACTTCGTCTCACCGATTTTGGTCATGTTATAAGAAGGGACCATTCCCTGGAGAAGGATGTCATGCTTGGTAGGGTGGAGGGTGGACGAAAGAGGGGGAGGCCTTCAACGAGATGGATTGACAAGGTGGCTGTGATGATGGGCTCAAGTATAGCAGGGATTGTGGGGCTGGCGCGGGATCAGGCAGTGTTTCGTTCTGCTGTGCATGGGGTCGCTATGAGTTGGAAATGACTCGACGGCACTTAACAACAACAACATACTTAACTCTAAGAAACCACTGAACGGTCACAGTAGCTTTGTCATTTCATATTCCCTCCAGTAATGTATGACAGTTTTGAGGTCCGCACATCCTTTACAACACTTTGTATTAGAAGTTTTTTAAAATTATAGATGTTTTTTATTGAATGGGCACCAGTATCTTCTTGCAGTTTTAGTTTTCATTTCCAGCATGACTAACAGCGATAAGCAACTTTTCATATGCTTACTAGTTATACACTTAGCTTCTTTGGAGAAATGGCTATTAAAATGATTTCCCCGTTTATAACTGAGTTATTCATCTTCTTGTAAGCATTCTTTATAAATGCTGGATACAAGAACTTTATTTGATAAAAATAAACAAATATTTTCTCCCAATCTATGGATTTGAATTCTATTTTTTAAGTTATGTCTTAAGGGAAATGTTAAGTTCAAATGAAATCCAATGTATTCTCTTTCTCTGTTATGGGTCATACTTTCAGTGTTGTATAACCTAACCAAAGTTCAGATAGCTTTTCTCCTGTTTCCATCTATAGGCATTAACATTTTTAAATAATTAAAAAATAAGACCATAATTCCATTACTACATCTAAAAGAAAATAACAGTAATTCTTTAAAATCCTCAAATACCCAATATTGGTATGTATGTATGAAGTTTTTCAATAATGGAAATTTTAAATATATAACATTTTGACAATCATGATTCACCATCCCCTCATATACTTTTACTGGAAGATTTTAAAGTAAATCCAAGGAATTGTGCTATTTCACCTACACATACTAAACAACACGAGCAAAAATACTAGCAAAACCTTAGGCGAAGAAGCAAATGGAAATTACAAAACTGAATACCACAGTAACTGAAAAGACTAAACGGATATATTTAACACAGATTAGACAAAACTAAAGAAAGATTTGAAAAACTAGATACAGAACAAAACAAAACATCCAGAGACAGAAACATGATGGGACAAAGGGTTAAAAAAAGATAAAAGCTTACGACCCAAAAAAGGAGACTGAGAAGGGCAAATACACATAATTGGTCTTCCAAACAAGAAAGACGCAAAAGCGTTTCAAAACTAATTAAAGGTATCAAGTCAACATGTCCAAGAAGCTCCAAAACGCCAGCAAGAATATCCTATTTATGCTTCTCTTGGTAAAATTGCAAAGGAAAAGCAGATGGAGACAAAAACATCTTTGAATAGGTAACAATTAGAATGAGAGGTGAAATCACAAAAGAAAACACTAAAGAAAGCCAATGAAATGATACAGTTGCAGTGATTTTAAAAAATCACGTCAACTCTCCACACCAGGCAAAAACATCTTCGATAATGCTGACAGCAGACAAACGAGGACTGAGAGAATTCATCAATAGTCTATCTAAGTACATCGACAGAAAAGGAAATAAAAGAAATGGTATTCTTGGCAGAAGAAAAATATTCCCAAATGGGAGCCTGATTAAGGAAAGAAAAAAAAAGTAACTATCAGAAAAAAAGCTAAACGAATATCAATAATATTTAATAAAGCAGTTTAAAGATACATAGAAAAAATAAAATGTAAGAGACTACAATATTATTTAAAAGTAGATGGGAATAAATGGGGTTAAAATGTTTTGGGGCCTTACATAATCCGAGAAAAGCTTTATTCGCAATAGCAAAATGCTAGAAAAAATAATGCATTAGCCTCTGTTACATTGAGGATGAAGCTATCAGTTCTAGAGCTGCAATGTCCAACAGAAATTTTTGCAATGATAGAAACATTCTACAAATGTGCTATACAATACAACAGCCACTAGTGGTGTGGTAACTGAGCATCTGAGACACAGCCAGTGTAACGGGGGAACTAAACTTTTATATTTATTGCACTTTAATTTTAATTAATTAATAACCAGATGTGGCTAGCAGCTCCTAAACTGAACACTGCAGATCAAGAGGAACCACTAGTTGAATGGTAAAAGACTACGTAACTTGCAAGTTTACAGAAAGGGAAACTTAAACAATCAAAAATACACTGTCAATCTAAAAATCAAAAAACAAACTCATTGCCATCGAGTTGATTCCGACTCATAGGGACCTCTCCAGGGTTTCCAAGGCTGTCAATCTTTATGGAAGCAGATTCCCTAATCTTTCTTCCACAGAGGGTGGTGGGCTGACCTTTGGGTTAACAGCCAAATGCCTTAACCACTACACCACCAGAGTCCTTATCAGTCTAACAGAGGGCCAAAAAAGGAAATCTTTTAAGCAGCTTCCAAAACAGCTCTTTGTCATGGAGTCAATTCTGCCTATAGTTACCCTATAGGATAGAGCAGAACTATCGCACAGGGTTTTAAAGACTGTAACCTTCGTGTAGAAAACACTGCCAGAAAATGCTTCATATTAAGATGATGGCAATGGCTGCACAACATGTGAACATAATGAACAGCACAGACTTGAACATGTTAAAACGGCTGAAACGTTAAAAAAAAAAAAAAAATGCATTCTTTTACTTTTCCCATCTCTTCTCCTTTTTCTGGTTGCATTAGACTTTAAAAAGTTTTACTAGTACCATTGCCAAGAGTTGATTCTCACTCATGGCAACTCCCTGTGTGTCACAGTAGAACTGCACTCCATAGAGTTTTTAATGGCTGGGACTTTTCAGAAGCAGAACCCCAGGCCTTACAAGAGGTGCCTCTGGGTGGAGTCAGGTTGCCAACATTTTGGTTAGTAGCTGAGCGCTTAACTATTTGCACTACCCAGGGACTCCCTTCAAAAATTTTAGATGAGGCCAAAATAAAAAAGAAGGGAAATGCCATACATACATACCAATGTTAACCTCCTTACAGGAGCAGTTTCCAGGACAGTGAGGTAAGCCAACAATGCTATTCAGACTAGGTCTTAGCTTTAAGAGATATTTTGGCATTTTCTTCTTAAACAGCTTTGAGACACACTTCACACACTGTACAATTTATCCATTCAAACTACAAAAGTGTTTCATATATTGGTGTTGTACATTGAATTTTGTCCCCAAAAATACATGTCTACTTGGCTAGGCTGCAATTCTCAGTCACTTGGCAGTCATATGATGATGCAGTTTGGCAGTTATGTAATGACATAATCATTCCCAAGATGTGATCTGATGTAATTACCCTCTATTTGTGATGTGCTGGAAATCCTGAACTCTATGTGTTTTTAAGGTAAGATTGGATTATATTAATGAGGATGAGGTTATTTTTATGCTAATGAGACAGGATCGGGGTGGGATTCAACACCATTACTCAGGAAACAAGAACCTTCCACCAGAGCCAACAAACACTGAAAGCC